AGATTCTGCTTCTGGATCAGTTCCCTGCTGTGGCCTTTGGGAGGTGAGGCTATTTTTCAGCGTAGTCATGGTGACCTGGTATCCCGTCTCACCGGTCTCCTTGTACAGTGACTCAGGTCGAGGTCAGCCTGATGTAGGCAGATTTACACTAATGATAAATTCTTACTTATGTTCCTGAAATCTGGTTTCTCCACAGACGGCGACACAGAGAGGGTTTTATTGGTGGGGCCCAGCGCCCCGGCCACGTAGCGTTTCCAACCTGAGGACACACACAGGACATGTTAATCCCATGAGAAACCCCTGAGTTGATGTATGACCATCACTGCAGCAGACAGGAGGTTCAGCTAACCAGACTGTTTGGTGACATCATCGGCTGCCTTCCTCGCCAGCTCTGCTGACGCCCTGTTGAGGCGATAGGCCTGCACAACAAACACAGTTACCCTCTGAAGCAACAACATGACCCACATTAAGCTCATCTAATACAGAATAAATGACTAAAGTTACAGCTACATTAGCCACATGTTGCACATGCTTCCATATGCTCATGTCTCACACACTGAACAGGTGGCATGGAACAGGCATGCCACTAGTGTTAGCACTGAAGACAAAGTGGTAGCACATTGTCTTCAGTTAGCTTTAATATTGAATTAGTCGAAATTTAAAAAGAACAATTCCAGAGTCCAAACAGGAAAACCTGCTCCAATTGTTCTGGTATGTCTAAACCAGAGAAACCAGCACACTGACTGGTGATGAACGGTGTTCATGTTCTTATCCTGACCACATTTCAACACATAACACAGATTTCTTTATTCTTCTTTCACACCTTCAATTGACTTTATTTATATGGTGCCAATTAACAACACATCATCTGAAGGCACTTCAAAGAAAAATAAAGCCAATTGATCTTTGTTCAAACAGTGCATTAAATTCAGTTTATTATTCAGGTTGGTTAAAAGGTTTCTATGTAAGGAAACCCAGCAGATTGCATGGAGTCATAGACTCGCAGTGCTCGTTCTTCTTGGATGAACACGTAGTAACAATCGCTTAGATTATGACCTTGACTTTACAATGGATGCTCATGGATGGTAAGTACGAAGTTAATGGCAGCAGTAGCTCCTTAATGTTTTCCATAATAAAACAGAGCATATATTTACTGACTAACTGTGAAACATGGTGGAGTTTCCACTGCTTCAACTACTCCAGACCTACTGGTTTGGAACTCTCCATATCAACAGGTCCAAACAGGTCCACTTTATATCTATATGCATATAATATGTATTCTTTTCAATCCAGTTTATTAAGTACAATTAAGTTACAACTACATTAAAATAAAGCTTTTCATAGACTCAAACCAGTAGATTCACTGGAATCAGAATAAATTAGAAGAATTCAACAGGATAATTATTACAACAATCAAGAAATAATATTACTTGTAATGCTTCACACTTCCAGGGGTCATATGTGGCAGTTGGACTGATTTTGTGGCCCCCAGCTGCAGCTCAACAGCTACAAATTTGTTTATTAAACTTTTAATTTTTATTCAGTGTGAAATTATTATTGACATCATTTTCTTACAACAAAAGATGTTAAGTAGAACTCAGAATATTTGTCTTTTTACAAATACACTTTAATGACAAGTAGAACCATGTCAATCCAGACTTTTACTGAAAAACCAACTTTGCTGCATCCAAATCAGCTTTTATTTAATTTATTGAATGAGAAGTAGATAACACACTAAGTAGAGCCAGTTATCAACTTAAAACTGACTGAGGTTGTACAGAACAAAAGGGAAAAAATAGCTTTTAGCCATCAGGAGCAAGCTCACAGGTCAGCTCTGATAAGCTCTGGTATGTAGAAACAGATCCCGGAGAATTTCTCAGAATGAGCTCATCAGTGGTTAATCAGTGAACTCTTGTCTCTCTATGTGCATGACCTTTGTGTTGGCAGCAGGAGTCGTGTGCTGCTCATACCAGCTGCTCCAGTCCATAATCTGCCTGGGCGACGGATGTGCTGCTGAATGTGTTGGTCTCAATGATGTCAGCTCCGGCCTGCAGGTACTCCTGGAAACACACCATGGACAACGCTGCAGCACTTTGGTCTAGTCAAAGAAACCACATGTCCAGCATCAGACAGGACAACATCTGGATCCATCTGCATGGACTACCTTGTGTATGTTATAAATGATGGCTGGCTGTGTGAGGCTCAGGAGGTCATTGTTGCCCTTCAGAGGTAGAGGATGCTCCTTAAACTCTTCTCCCCTGAAATCTTCCTCCTCCAGCTTCTCTTGTTGGATCATCGTTCCCATTCCGCCATCTAGGACCATAATCCTTTGCTGCAGCAAAACTCGCAGCTCTGACTCCACTGGAGAGCTGCAGCCTGGACAGGAAAACACAGGCAGTACTCTGCAATAAGAACGCTGGCTTGGTTCCCTCAGCATGGCTCAGCTCGTCCTAAACCACAGTTAGAGCTGAACCGCAGATCAGCGTCCACAATTCTGAAGAGTATCCATGAATGATCAGGAGTTCCTGAAACTCTGGAAATCTGAATGGATAGAATATCCATACCGATTTGTTGGTTGAAGAACAGATTAAAAATAAATATCTTTGTCGCTGAAGGACGATGGTGGGTTGTTGGTTCAATTTGGGGCTCTGTCTGCCTCTGTTGTTGTGTGGTAAGACTCTTCACCCGCCAAGCCTGCTGGTGGTGGTGCATGGCAGCTATGGTTACTATCCAGTAGCTTGCCATGAACGCTCTCTGTGCATGGCAAGCTATGCCATGCATTGCTTGCCATGTGTGGCAAGCTATGCAAACTTTTCAATGTGTGTGTACACATTGAATATATGTACACACACATTCAGTGTGTGAATGTGTGTGTGAGTGACTGAATGTCATGCTTCTGGGCTTGATAAAACGCTATATACTAGTACAGTCCATTTACTATCTGAGCTAATATGTCTTCAATAATTTAGCAGCAAAAAGTTTTTTTCAATTAAATTAATTTTTCGTCAATATATGGTTTCAGTTAAAGTACAATTAATTCAGTTTAGTCGTATTGTGGTTTCTTATTGTGTTTTAACAGTTACCAGAATTAAAGATTTTATAATAATAATTAAAACAAAACATTAAGGCTATGTTAAGAAGTATCACACCCCTCAGTTCTGGAGTTTAATAGTGCCATTAATTATTATTTTTAATTAATTGTTATCAATAATAGAAACGGAACATAAACTACACTCAAAGCATACGTTATAATACATATCTCAATTAATTATAGGAGTAATGAAAGAAATTAAGGAGACATGGAAGCCACATTATCAACAATAATAAAACAAATTTACACAAATCAAAGTATCAGTGTCGATGTGAGAAATAAGATATAAAACTTTATTGTCCGTCAAGGAGGAAAATTTCCTTCGGATCTCCAACATCATATCTATACCAACTGCAACAAAACAGTTTATTTTAAAACATGCAGCACAGTAAACAAACCCTGAGTATGAATATTTAACCCGACTCTGATTTGACCTAAACGCTTCTACGAGTCGGTCATCCTGTGTGTTCTGCTGGGCTGGAGACCTGAACATTAACATGTGGTTTCAGCTGATCTGTCAACTGCAAAGCAGTTGCATCACATCAGAGTTTAGCTCCAAGCTAACAGAGAACCATGTGACAGTGGCGGGTGGAGGACCTACCTGCTCCCGTAGCTGCGCAGAGCTGATATCGGACATTTGTCGGAGCCATTGGAAGCCAAGCAAGCCGTGAGAAGAGCCCAGCTATCCTTCTGAACACCCAAAGGATAATTATGTTCCTTCAAACTTTTCCTACTGAAACTACTGGTAGGGCCAACCATGGCTTCCGATCACAGTCCTTCAAAATAAAAGCAACTTTTTGACATAAGCCAACTTCCGGGAAAACCAGATTGATTTATTTGTGATACCAAATAAATCACACTGGTCCACAAGAAAATCAATCTGGTCCCTTGTCGGTGAAAATGTTTACATTTCGTGCTTTTATTTTTAATAAAAGAGGGTTTTCTAAATAATCACTTCATTTTAATGGGGAAAATATTTTATTCACAAATAATTTTTCAGTCAAACCAAATTTTACAAAATGTAAAGCAATTTCAATTCAGTTGTAAATTTCATGAAGTTGCTGAACAATGAATCGGCAAGTAAATTTTCAGTTTGAAATTTTTATTTTTTTTACCACCCCCATAACGCCCTTATTTATATGATACATATGCACCTAGAATGGTTCCACTTGAGTGATTTCTTCTCAATTCTCTTTTTTTTTTTAGTATTTTCATTAAGTTAACTCTGAAGTTTATCCTTTAGGATCTATTTGCTGTTCACAATTCTATGTGTAATTATTTTTGCTGACAATTTGTCTTTTGTTCAGATACAAGGATCTAGCTGTCACAGAATAGCGATAGTGATAAGGACAAAGAAGAAATAAAATATGAAGTAATATTTTTGACCATAAACGTTCAGTCACAACACTGGTCACTGAAGCTAAAGTTTGCTCCTGTTTTGGTGAAACTGTATTTCTTATTTCATGTTAAGGTCACTTTATCTCAGCAGAGGTAATGTAGAAAGTGGGCAGAGCCTCATCAGGCCACTGAAGCCAACCAATCAGAGACAGTAGTTTGTAAAAGGTGAAATCTTTTGTTTAAACAGGTTGTGTCCATCAGTATCTCAGATGGTGGCTTTAAAGATAAGCCCCTGATGCAATGAGCTCTACACAGAGCACCCAGCTGTTACACCAAACTGTGTTCCATGATAAAATAAAAATAAAATGCTATATGGCAGAACTTCTGCCTTTGTAACAAGGATCTTACCAACATTAGATTGGTACAGTGGCTCACTTTGAGCCATTTCTAAATGTTTATGGTCAGATATTTATATCATCTGACCATAAACAGTAAAAATGTAAGATTCAACAATCAGTATCTATTTGCATAGGTTATAAGTGCACTGGTCTCAAAAATCCACACTTCATACTGATGTTGCATTTCTTTATTCCACTGTAGAACAAAGTTGTAGTATTGTCATGAGACCATAATGTGCAGATCTAAACAGAAGATCTGTTTAGGTCACACCAGGTCTTACTTAATAAAAGCGTCTCCAGGGAGACATAAAAACAGTCTGTCATAGTTCTCCAGAGTTCAGACACGCAGGTCCAGTGAGGGAGCTAGAGGTCGCTGGGCGCTCCCTTCAGGCTGGAGCGCTGCTTCTTCTGGTCCTTCTGACCCATCACTCTGTACAGTTTCTTCTTAGCCTCCCTCTGCCTCTTCAGCTTAGCCTCCTCGTCTTTCTCCTTTTGCTGCAGGAACTCTTTGTGTTTGGCGTGCTGCACCTTGTGGGCATTCTTCCTCTTGTAATTGTGGACTGTGCTCAGAGCATGGAGAAGTGCTGCCACCTAGAGGGCCAGAAGAAACTGTCATCTTCTAACATGAGGACAAGCCAATAAGCTGGGTTAGGGTTAGTGTTTGAAAAGAGATAACCCAATGCTGATATCAGTGGAACCCACTCAGACTTTATAGACAGAATGAAAATCCTGTTTAAGAGGAATGTCATTAACTCACTTTCAGCAAGGGATTGGTCAACTGAATATTTGAGGTTTTGTCTTCATCTCTTTACCAAACCATGCACGTTAGGGACGCGCCGACCAGGTTTTTTGCTGCAGATCACCACTGATCAACATGGATTGGCTTTTAATTTTTCACTTTAGGTATAAATGTTACTATGTGATCTGGCAAAACGGAAAAATGATCTGGTAATAAATTCACCTAATTTAGACATAAAACATACAAATACTTGCAGAGAATACAGCAACTACTCAGTCTAAAGGACAACTGAAAAACCTGCAATCAGTAAAATAAAATAACTGATTGCAGTTATTTGTAAATATCACAACACTGCAAACATCAAATAATGTCAAGTGAAAAAGGAAACATTCATTCAAAGTCAAACACAGGTTGCATCAAAATAAACAATCCTGAGTTACTGAATCAAAACTTCCTGAGAGCATGGCTGATTAATGCTGGTTCTGATTGGTTGTTTCTGACCGAGCGGAGTAATTCTGAAGAACACAGGGAGGAGGCAGAGGAGATCAATTATTTTTCAGACATCATCTGTCTTATGGTAGGACAAAGTGAAAATTTTAATAAATGTGAAAAATCTTTTTTCTTTTTTGTTTAAGTTACATGCTGCAGCTTTAAAAAGACGTTTGTGTGAGAGTTCACTGCAGGTGGAGGTTGAACGGCACTACGTCTGTGAAATATTATCACCAGTAGCACCAGAACCAGAACCATATTAGATTTGTTGTGTTGATGCATTTTCCCTCCTGAGGTCATTTTCCGTCTCAACAGCAAACATCTGTTATACACACTGAACCGCTTAACCACTAACACACTGTCTAGCCAAGGAACATGTGCATGGACTTAATCCGCGCAGACACAGATGTGTTTACATCTCAATGTGTTGAGATGTAAACACTGCACATAATTCTGTGTTCAGTCAAGGTAAATCATTGTCACTGTACGCTCAGTGCGTACCTCTGAAAGTACAACTACAGGTTATATCTAAGTTTGAGTGAAAGGAGGTGCCAGTGGTGTGATCTGGCTTTGTGACCTGTTAAATGCATCAACTACAAACCCATCCTTTTGGAATAATTCTGCCATCAGGTTTTTTTAAAAATAAAAACAAAAACAAGCTATGCTTAGCCTGGCGGGTGGGCCTGGGGGCTGCCATTCGCTGGGGAAACCCTGATTTAATGCTTGTATTTTATCTCTTCCACACACTGCAGACTAAACTTTCCTGCTCCTGGTTTCACTGTTTAACCCTGCTTAAGATACAGGGACATTAAAACCTCATAATTTTTTTACTCTGAGGTCCTGTGGTGTTGCACTGTGCTACAGGGTGTTTTGGAAAAACCATCAGACCGTCACCACCCAGCCCTACGGTGCTTCCTCACTGTCTAAGCATGATATCTCCCCTAACCCTGGGAGTGTTAAGAAATGGGGTCCACTGGATTCAGCAAGCTTTACCTTGAGCGCCTCCTGTAGGGGTTGCACTGACTTCGCCCTCGCTTTTACCCCTCACTTTTTTTGACCCCATTCCTCCTGAGAGTCTCCCTAAGACCAACGGTGGTTAAACCTGAACCAGATCCAGATAACTGATGTTTTTGCACCTGCCTTTTAACAAGCCCTTTCTTTGTACTCTCAGCCATGCTGCTTCCCCCTCGCTCTGCTTCGATGCAGCCGGTTACAGGCTGGTTACGTCATCAACAAGCATTACCATGGTTAACCTGTAGACTACAGATCTCTACAAATTTCTATCATTTCTCCCTTATGCCATTTATATTGTGCAATCCTACACTATACCAAATGAAATTATACCATAAAATAATTGCCATATCAATCAATTACACAGCTTAAAATATTAGCTTAGCACTCCCTCCTTATATCTTCACTGAAATAAGATTTTTCACCTGAATCTTGTAATAAAGAAATGCCAGGCAATATGCTTTTTGCCATATTCATTATAATATGCATTATAAACCACAAATGTTATTGGTAACGCTTTATTTGAAGGAGTCTTTATGAATGTTCTCATTAAGTGTCATTCGGTATATAATGACACTTTTAATGCAGAGTTGCTTTAAAAGTTGCCTTGAAAGTGCATTAAAAATGCCAACTTTGCATTAAAGGGTCATTATTTCCTGAATAACACCAGTCAAACATTCATAAAGACTCCTTCATGTTCACGACACATGTTATGTCATGTTTATGCACACCCCGTCAAATAAAGTGTTACCATCTTATTCTGTAGCATTGATGCTTCTGAACAGTACAGGTTGGGACCGGACCGTTGCCAGACGATGCCAAAGTCCACTGACATTTATTGTCAGATACCGAAGTTCATAAAAACAGATTTGTCTTAATAAATACAATAATGTGGAGCTTAAATGAAGTTGAAGTAACAGATAAATTTGTGGAAATCCTTTTCAGTCCAGTCCGGTTGTGCTCACCTTCCTCTCATGTGGCTCTCGGATCACGCTGGGCCTCTGGAGGTCCCTGGGGGTCCTTCCTTTGGGCTGCTGCTGTTTGGGTTTGCTCTTGAAGGGGAGGGCCTTCTGAAGCTCCTTGGGAATATGGAGGGGGTTGAAGCGGCGTGGAGCTCGAACCACCGGCTGGAAGGGAACCACATGGAGATTCACAACCAATCACTACATCAGGGAAATGTTATCCTATATATATATATATTTATATACACATCTTCCACAGAAAACCCTGTGGAAGAGAACTGTACCAGCTGTGGTGCCCAATCAACCAGAGTCTACCGATGTACCAGGTAGGAAAATATCCTAAGACTTTCCATTTTCGTGTCAAAAATTAAATATTAAAGTTTATCCATTCTGAACTGACTGTGGATCAGCGACAGAGCAGTTCTTCTGCAATCAGAAAGTTACAGGTTTGATTCCAGCTTCCTCCTGTCACATTTTAAAGGCACTTAACCATAGGTTGCCAAGCAACTTGCATACTGGTGAATGTGGCTGTAGCATAAAGCTACAGCCACATTCTGACTGGGAAGACGCACTTCCCTCAAAACTCATCTTGCTGAATAACAGCCCAAGAGTTGGGTCATGGGAGAACCAGTGTCTTCAATCCAGGACTTGAGGGCCTGTGTCCAGCAGCCTGAATCCCCTCCTCAGTATTCCTGCTAATGACTTTATATTACTCCGGTGTTTTGAAGCAGAGACACATCTATATGTTGCAGGACACGGGCCCTCGAGACCTGGAGTTGAGGAGCCCTGCAACAGACTAGGTTTGAGTGAATGAAATGTTCCGTCTCCTTGACAACCTGCTCAGAAGGCTGCCAGGATGTGTGTTGTACCTTGTACAGAGAGTCAGGGTTGGGTTTGTTGCGGATGCCCAGGTCATGTTTGAGCTGCCCCAGGGTCCTCATGCCTGACCAGCTGTCCTTCTGACCAGCAGGGAGCAGCAGAGAGGTAACGGGGTTGTAGAGCTGAGGGACCGACACTGGGTACCAGGAGCGCAGGAACACGATGTCTGCACACACAAACCAAAACACACAGTGTGCACATCACACTGACTTTTCCACTCAGCAGCACTGATCTGGTATGTTGTGGATGCATCTGTCTGGGGGACACAGCAGCAGGGTGAATTCACTGCAGCTGAAAAAAACTCAGTTTACTTCAACTGTTCTACAAAGAGAAACACACTTTCTGTTTGTAGAAAGTGTGTGTGATCCTGAGAGCACAGTTAATTGATACATACTTTAGAAATGTTTGCACATCTCATCTGAAGAGAATCCCAGCTAGGATTCCTCAGAGTCTCTAAACCAAACAGTAGAGATGAAGATGAGTAGTAGCTGTGCACCATAGAAACACTCACCACTCATGAGCAGTCGGTCCTCAAATGTGGCTCTGAAAGCTCCTGCAGGTGAAGACAGAGCCTTCTTGATCTGACCCCTGATGCCTGACACGGTTCGCACCGAGGCTCCTTCAAACTTGGCCACCTCCAGCACAGTGTTGAACATTCCCTGAGCAACAGAGAAACATTAGACCTGCTACAAGGACACAGTAGGCCTGCTGGTGAGCTGGTGTGTGTAAATACACAGAACATGTTCCCACCTTAACAAAGCAGGTATTCTTAAAGATCTTGAATGGATATCCAATCAGCTTGAGCTTCTTCACTATAGTCACTGACTTGTCCAGATCCAGAATGACTCCAGTGGCCGCGATACGAAAACTGGCCTGCAGACAAAAAAAAAAAAAGGGGAGTATAAAAACTGCACAGCTAAAAACATATTTTAAAGGAATCAAGAATTTTTTTTTTACCAAACCTGGAAAATAGAGATTGTGAAATATATTGAGAATCTAGAGCAGATTGTAGTTTATCAACATGGAGTCAGTCTTACCTTAGATCCAGTCACTGACTGCACAGCCAGGAAACCAGAACCCTGGGGTGTGATGGGACCTTTGAAGAGACAAGCCCAGAGAAAAGGACTTTTAAAATCACAATGTTTGAATGTTTGGATATTTAAAAATAGAAAACCTTCTACCAGAGTACAGATTCACTTGAAATATTGCCTGTCGTGTAAGGTCTTAATTATCCTGGGTTATATCTGCTGGGTTTCCTTAGAAACTTTAGAATCTACTTTGAGCAATTAATTGAGTACACTGCACTGTTTGACAACTAGGATCAGCTGGAATGTATGCATGATTGAATAAAAATGATCTTTTTTAAGTTCCTTGACGACATTTAATGTGAATACAGAAATCAATTTGAACTGAATACGTAGTCATTTGAGCCACAGCAGGGTTTCCCCCAGAAACCTTGTCAAGTCTGGTGGTCAGGGCACCATGGCAACCGCCATGTTTTCATATTAAAAATGCTAAGTTGACAGTAAATGTAAAAACATTGAGTAATTATGTTACTGAAAGATATTGTTTACAATACTTTAAACCAGGGGTCCCCAAACTTTTTCCTGCGAGGGCCACATAGCTGTTCCTTTTTCTGGTCGGGCCGGTCTTAGTTTTTGGAGAAAGAAACCTTAGAAAATTCTTGTCCACGGGGGAGTGGGGGCGCGACGACACATTCGCGCTTTTAGATAGATTTTTACCCAGAATGCAAATGGAAAAAACCGTGAGTGAAACGGTGACTGGGACTGACTAGTATATATTCCATTGAGGGAAAGTTAGTTTCACATCTGCTCAAGAGCCCCCTGGTGGAGTGGATGAAGAAAAATCCACATATAAACCAGAAAATACAATATATGAAAAAAAACACTGAATGCTCTCCTGGTATGAGCAGGCGGGCCGGATCCGGCATTGTTCAGGGGGCCGGACCAAATGACGTGGCGGGCCGGATCCGGCCCACGGGCCGTAGTTTGGGGACCCCTGCTTTAAACTATAGTCTTAAACGACAAACAAAAACACAATTAAAACACATTTTTTTGTACTTCAGCTAAAATTCAAACAAAGTAATCAGCCAGTGGATTATCAAACACAAATACTGGTCACATTTAGACCAGCTTTTTCTATTTTGTGACAGAGTGCAAAGAGGACACTGATTTTGGTTGCCTGCTCTTAATGGGACAGATTTTTCCGATTTCCGTTCTTCCGCGGTCGCACACTGAAATCTGGCTGACAAGTGGAGTAGAGCCCTCTCTACAGTTTGAGGCATTGTGCTGCTGCAAATAAAACAGAATGCTGTAACACTAAGAGGTGGGCAAGACATCCACCATCACACCAACACCTGGGAAATTATAAATTATCAATTTGCAGCGCAGACAGAGTTGAGCGATAGGCGAGTGTGTTGAGATGCAAAAGCACAAGCTACACATAGTCCATTGTTCACACAGATGCATCATTGTCACTGCAAGTTAAACACGCACCTTTAACAGCACAGCTATTTGTGGTTCACATTGAGCTTGCACAAGCAGAGGAAATGCTGAGGCTTTTAAATTTGATAATTACCTTGGTGCAGTATTATCTGAAGAAACATGAGGGGTTAGTAGAAATGCCGATACAGGTGAAGCTTCTCTGCAACAATGCCTTCCAAATCATCCAGTTTGAGTGGAAGACGGCACATGCAAACCACGCTGAGGTGAACTTCAGGGGTGCAGCTGCCACAGCACACGAGTGATTAGTGCGCCCCCATCTGTTCAATGCACCAACTATAAACCAGTCTTTCAGAAACACCTCAGCTCTGCTGGTGAAGTTCGCAGTGCAGAGCACAGCAAATACACATACAGTCTGGGGTCACTAATATATAAATATATATATTTAAAATAAAAACAAGCAATGCTTAGCCTGGCAGGGGGGTAAGCCACTGGGGGAAATCCTGCACAGTCAGCGATTTTTCTCACTGGAGAAATTGTTCCATCTATTCATCTGTTTGAAGTGTGATGGCATGATGTGGGTTTTCTGTTCAGAATGTTGAATATTACTTAAACTGAGTGATTAATTGCAATTGAATGTGTAAAAACAGATGACAATTTTAGTTTCTACCCATCCACTGAAAAACACAGAGCGACCATTAAATCTGAATGAAGCCAGTTGTCATCAGTTTCAAACAGATTCAATGATGAGTGGAACTTTGTTTTGCACAGAGCAGCAGCGCCTCACCCCAGATGGAGGCTCCACAGTGCATGTGCTGTGGCGTGTACTTGAGCAGGCGGTGGCGCCCGTTGTGATCTTCCATGTGAAACAGAGGGATGGTCTGGAAGCGGCGCCAGCCCAAGGAGAAGATCAGAGGATCCTTCGTCTTCAGGATCCGCTCGTACCATCTGTGTTTCTTTAGTCGCATCTGGCTCACACACACAAACACACACACAGTTAATTAGGAATCCTTTTTTGTCCATGCTGCAGAAAGCAACTCCATCCAACACACTTCAACCATGGACTCGGCGGTTTAGAAACACCTAAAGATAATACACACTGCTTCATCTGGGTAAAGGTGCATGTTGTCAGCTGACAGTGCGTGTACATACCTGGAGATATCCTAAGTTGCCTTCGCTGGAGCCCAGCCCACCAAGGATTATGGGATAATGGGCATCAAAGTTTGTCACAAACTCACACGGCAAAGAGCCAATTTCCACCCGGATGTACATTCCAGGTCGGAAGCCTTCATACTGAACCCTGCTCTCATCGTCCATGTCCCCAAACGCCGCTCTGTTCAGCTGGGTGTCAACAGGAAGACAGACAGGAACCAGTCAGTCAGACTGGAAGCAGCAACCAGTCAGTCAGTCAGACTGGTAGCTGTACCTCTGCCTGCTTCTGCAGCTCCTCCTTCAGGTCGTCAAAGTATGTGGCGTCTCCGTCATCATACTCGGAGTTGAACCGTTCCTTCAGTCGGCGTTTCTTCTCCAAACGTTTGTTCTTTTGAACCTCTTCATCATCCATCTTCACCTGGGGCTCTTCATCATCATCATCATCATCGTCGTCCTGTGTATCCTGGAGATCACACGGTGGGTTAGGACAACTGTTGAGATGGTCAATCTGCACCAGTAAACCCTGATCTGCTGGTCCCATCATGAGTATTTCTAGTTGAAGATGGACAGCAGCCCTCATCAACCCGTCACAGAGCTGACCTGACCTGACCTCTGGCTCTTCAGCAGTAAAAGCTGAAGAACCTCAGCATCTTTTCAAAGGATGAAACATAATAGTAAATGAGATTATTACTGTCCGTCATGACAGCTAAATACACCTCCTGAATAACTACAACTATATTAAACTATTTTTCCTGTCTTGTTTTGTTTTTGGATTCTTTCATTGGTTCTGATGGTACATTACATCACACAGAAGTTCAAAATGTGAAGACATGCAAGCCTCTGGAGGAAAACAAACTGGGTTCTTCAAACACAAACGGTCACATCTGGCGCTGCTGCATCCCGTACCTGAGGCTGGCTCACATGGACTTCTCCTGTCTCCAGATCTTCAAAGTCCCCATACAGCTCTTCTAAACAAAGCATACAGACCACTCATATCAGTTCATCTTCTGTATTGTGGGAATAATATCAATAGTAATCACAGGACAGAAAGGAACACAATGGAAGCACTACGGAGATAAACACCCAAAAAACACTGTTGGGTGGGACTATCAGAGCAATAGAAAACTATGATTGAGTTTTAGACTTCTGCTGAGGAAGGTAAGATCGGTGTATAAGATCAGCTTTACATGCAATTTCCAGCCAATCACCAATCTAATGAAATTAAGGAAATTGGTGCTCCCCCTAATAAGAGCATGATGTAGAGCAGAGCGAGTTTCTGTTGCTGAACTCTTCCTACCGTCTTGTTTCAGCAGCGTGGCTGCATCCTGGCCCTCCTCCCACTTCCCCGTAACAAAGCAGTCCCTGATGGAGTCCAGCACCTGAAACACACAACATTCCATATCAACATGGCTGCATTCTGTAGGCCACCAGCTCAGCAGCCTCAGTGTGGACAAAGCAGGTAGAAGTTGACCTCTTGGACATCCCAGTCGTGGCCAGTGTCGGCGTGGAAACGGGAACAGTCCAGAGCGTTCGCCTGGAGCTTTTTGCTTTTCTGAGGTCGGCTGACTCTGAACAGCCCTCCCAGTTCCTCCTCCTCTTCCTCCGATTCCGTCACCTCGACAACTGCAAAACAAAGCCAGTGGGTTTGAGACATCCTTCAGAGAGCCACACTGTGTAGATGTTAGAAAACATATCACAATATAAACATTTCATATGATGAAATGATTACTTACTTAGGGTTAGGGATTTTTACTACCAGCTATGAGGCACGGCAGTGAAACCTGAAATTCCTGCTGAGCAAGTTACTCAACAGGTTGTTGCTAGGTAACACTTAGCTGCTTAGCTGGCTGTGAGAGGTGAAGCAGCTAAAGCTTTTCCTCTGCTTCCATCCCCCAGAATGCTGTGCAGAGATCAGAGTTCAGTGAAATTACTGAATATTAAAACGTATGCATTATCTATTGACCACATGCTTATGGTGATATGTTGTTACTGATTGACTGCCACGGCCTACTAGATGTTCATAAATGAGTCACAAAGGGTCAATCATAAATCGACGGATTTATTATCTGAAGAAATGAAACCAGACTGCGTACCTGAACCATAAACAAGTTTTCTCAGATTTGGGGCAGCTTCTTGTTGCCGTAGGAACGCCTCCGCTGCTTTCTGTTGCAGACCCTCCTTCCATTTGAGAGCCCCTGTGAGTGTGAACGGAGAGTTAAAGCATGAAGAGAAAACACAAAGTCCCTGCAGGTCAGTGGCCGATCCTGTTGGCAGAACCGGGTCAATCAGGAGGATGGAGTGAGGGAGGGGAGGCCCCTGGTGGCCTGGGCCCAGTATGAATGTGTCAGCGAATACAACAGTCCTGAATCTATGTGACTGAACATGGGCTTCATTTGAAGCATGTCAGAACCTTTACAGGTCTCCTTCAGAGACAAAATCTAACAGCTTTGACTGGTATACAGCAGCAATTAAAAT